CCTCCTTCCCCCTTCCTTGGGCTTTGAACTCTGGTGCTGGAGAAGACTCCTGCGAGTCCCTTGGATTGCAAGGCAATCAAACCGGTCAGGCCTAGAGGAGATAAACTCTGACTGCCCTTTAGAAGGCCAGATCCTGAAGAGGAAACTCAAAGACTTTGGCCACCTAATGAGAAGGAAGGACTCCCTGGAGAAGAGCCTCATGCTGGGAAAGACAGAAGGCAAACAAAGAACAGGGCAACAGAGAATGAGGTGGCTGGATGGAGTCACCAAAGCAGTCAGTGTTAGCTTAAATGGACTCCAGAGGAGGGTAGAGGACAAGAAGGCCTGGAGGAATGTTGTCCATGGGGTCGCGATGGGTCGTACATGACTTCGCAACTAACAACAAGAAGAAGCCACCACATGACAGGTGGGTGACCATATACATTTGTTTTAATTGATTCATTCGTTAGCCGAACCACAAGAAGTTAAACTTACCGAAGAGGTTCGAAATTCAAGGCACTGATGCTTCCAAGACCATAACAGAGAATCAAAGCTATTCCTATCTGTGAAATTATACCGATCCAGATGACTTTGTTCCTGCAAAAAAATAATAATAAATACAGCTAAGGATAATCACATTATTTATGAGAGGTGCACATGGAGAGCCTTTGATAGCATCGACAGAAGGTTCGCATACAGATGTTAGTATGCAGATGTAAGTGGTTGGGTGGTCAGGAAGAGGTTATGAAATCCATGCTTGACTTCCTAGATATGGTTTCTCTCTGTGTGTGGATGCATTTTCTTCCAGACCCCAAAGCTCCTCCATTTTCACTTTAAGAACTATATATTTCTAGTTGTTTAGGATCACATTCTTGAGGTGCTCCTGAGATCAAATTTGAATCTTATGATTCAACCATGGGCAGTGATGCTAGCACTGCATCCCCTGATACTTTCTTGAGTGGGTGGGGTTGGATTAGATGACCTACAAGATCCCTTCCAACTCTGTTACTCTGTATCTACACCCACCTGAAAACCCCTTGTTGGAAAATGGAGTTCCGTCTGGTCTTCCTGATGATTAAATCCGCCACTTGTTGAATGGTGATGCTGACGAAAAAGGCCGTGTAGCCTGTATACTGCAGGGTTCTCCTTTGCTCGAAGGTCTGCAGGGCGTGGAGAAAGAAGAGAAGTTAAATGGCTGGGCTCAAGACAGACTTTCATCGCCAACTGAGGTCTAGGATAGGTTTGTTTATTGGGTTTATATGCCGCCCTTCTCCCAAAGGACTCAGGGCGGCGTACAGCATTTAAAAAAAAAGCACATATTGCAAAAGTTAAAAAGGAAATAAAGCATCCCAAAACAAACCCAATTAATATTAACAACACAATTTTAAAAATTAGATTAAAATGAACCATTAAATTAATCATTTATTTTATTCTGTTCAGGCCAGGCCGGCTAGGAATCATTCAGGGAATGATTCTGGCTAAACTGTGGCTAGTGGTCGGACATGGTGCTTCAGCATCTCCATCTCCCACGGTTTACAAATTCCAGCTGATGGACAAGAGCCAAACTGGGATATTTATTCAGGCTGCCAGGTCAAGGTTCAAGGTTCAAGGTTCATTTTATTTATATGCCGCCCTATTCCCGGCGGGACTCAGGGCGGCGCACAAACCCAANTGCCGTAACTTATCTCTGGCTCGGAGTGTGTGTTGATGTGGGACGAGGGGATTAGAACAGATGATTCTGTTCCTCCTTCCAGAGTTACAGTTGAACCAAACACGCTCCTTCTACTTACCAAGGACTCTTTCTCCCATTCCCCCTAGGGCCAAATATGCTGTTTGGAATGCTTCTGCTTTCTCCTCATCCAGAGGCTCTTCCTTTCCGTTAACCAGCATGGTGGTGCATCTCTCTAAAATCCGTTCGGGAGCACCTTTCATCACCAGCAGGAAACGCTTGTCATTCGGGTCTTCAGTTTCATGGATGGAGAGCTGAAGTCAAAGGAGAAGCAATGACTGAAATGCACTGGTATATTGCAGGGTGGATTCGGGGCATCTGAATGGAACTGAGTGTTTACTGGCCAGATGCCTTTCCTATTGCCAAAGCGGAGTTTGCAGTGGATATATTCTAGCAAGCATCCTTGCACTTGGGAGCGAAAACGGGATATGGGGACTCCTGGAAGGGGAAGGGAGGGGCCACCCAGAGGCGGTATTTGTCGGTTCTCTGAACCGGTTAAAATTTCCGTTACCAGTTCATGCAAACCAGTCCAAACTGGCTGAATACCACCTCTGACCAGTGCTCATCTCCATTTTTTGCCTGAGAAAGTCCAAAGACATTTCCCATGATTATGTGGCCAGCATGACTGTACACCAAAGGCACCCAGAATGCTATTACCCTCCCACCAAAGTGGTACCTATTCATCTACTCGCATGTGCATGCTTTTGAACTATATACGTTACTCTGGCTAAAATACAATCTCATTTTCTTCAAGATGATCTATTTTCCACCCAGGCATCTTCTAGTGTGTTTTAGTTCACAGGACAACGCAGAAAAATCATATTGTTACCTGAAACTTGTTAGTGGAATTGAAGGGGATTTCTGCCACTTTCCGGTTTTTCTTCCTGATGTCCATGACGTCGCCCAAAACCACTTCTGAGAATTTTAGAAGAGCTGTTTCTGAAGCATCTCCCACGACTATTCTCTGGAGATTTTGAAAATTTACCTCAGTAAAAAAACCTCACGTACCAACATCATTGTGCACATTTTTGTTATATTAAGATAAAGGTTCCCCCACACATACGTGCTAGTCATTCCTGACTCTAGGGGGCAGTGTTCATCTCCTTTTCAAAGCCGAAGAGCCAGCGCTGTCTGAAGACGTCTCCGTGGTCATGTGGCCGGCATGACTAAACACCGAAGGCACACAGAATGCTGTTACCTTCCCACCAAAGATGGTTCCTATTTTTCTACTTGCATTTTTAGATGCTTTCGAACTGCAGAAGCTGGGACAAGTCACGGGAGCTTACTCTAATACATTAGCTATTCCCTTTATTATATCACGTACCTCTGATTTTAGCCTCATTGTAAAAGAAAAATATTATCTTTTTTTCATGATAAACAATAAGGGATTTGTTTAAATGAATTCTGAAAAAGACAGCTTTCCACACTAAAAGTCACGTGGCTTCTAAACACTTCCAAACAGTCTCTTAATATAGTTAAATACTCAGCCCACAATTTAAATTCTCCCCTCACCGCAAGGGCAGAACTGCAGCTCCTTTGGCATTTTGTTGATTTCGAGGGGCAAAATGCTTTTAGCCCACTGGTGATATGTCCAGTGGTGGGATTCAAATAATTGAACAAACGGTTCTCTGCCCTAATGATTTCGTCCAACAACCAGTTCACCAAACTAATCGGAAAGTTAACAACCAGTTCTCCCGAAGTGGTGCGAACCGGCTGAATCCCACCACTGCCCTCAGGGCTTAGTTTGGAGAACTGCTCTGGCAATGTTGCATGTTGAATGTCTGAGTTTGGGATTGGAAAGTAAGAAAATGTGATTGCTTGAACCAAACTTTGTTTGTCATAACACCCACAGATTCTTTTAAGGGAACAGTTTATATCAGGGGGTAAAAAAGCAATTGCTCAGAGGTTGAAAAGCTCCATCTTTCCAAATGCTTGATGGACTACAAATCCCATCATCCCTATCTATTGACAAAGAGTTGTGGAACTCCACAGTAGCCTACTCGTATCTTAGATGTTGCAAAATGAACTTCCTGTTTCCAAAATAAATTCAGAAACTCAAAAACAGCTTTTATGGAGTCCTCCATACCTTCATGATGGGTACATTTTCTTGGCCTGGCCTAAATTCAGCCCGGTTACAAAGGGAGACAATTTTCGATAACGCAGCCCATGTGCCTGACGTTTGGTCAAACGATTGACCTGGAAACAAAAGGAGCAACAATTATTCTCTGATCAATAACAAGGTGTCAAGTTCCAAAACCCAAGAAAGACAGGATAAGAGTCTTATATTGTTCCTCATTCACAGACGGAAATCTTGCTAAACTAAAGCAGACTATTTGCATCATAAAACATATACTCTGGAAACTATTAGGGAGGAACTGTCTTCACCCTCTTTCTCCCACACTAAATTGAACTGTCTCTTGCTCCTGTGGAATTCAGCCCATCCCTCCTCGGAATCCAGACTACGTTCCATCACACCCTTGGTGAGTTGCCCATCTCTTTTAACCCCAGGCTGATTATTTACTTGACTGATCTTCGCTGGTGTCCGCTGAGAAGACTTCATTGTCAAACCACAGGTGAGCTACAGTCATTCGATTCTGGGTCAGTGTTCCCGTCTTGTCAGAGCAGATGACAGAAGTGGATCCCAGTGTCTCTACGGCTTCCAAATTCTTGACCAAACAATTCTTTTTAGCCATCCTCTTGGCGGTCAAGGACAAGGTTACCTATAATGAATGGGGATGGAATATGTCAAGTACAAGAATTCAGGAACTGGGACAGAGTTCAGAAGTACTATTTCATGCTACTTATAACAAGAATCTGATCTATTAATGGTCAAGATGAATAGGCGCCAGGTAACAGTCAATGGATGTCAAGGGGGGGTATGTGTTTGGTCTCTTATGGGAGCGCATAGACTCCAAACTGATGATCTTTTGACCCCGCCTTCAAGCTCAGCTTTATTGTCTCCTACAGAAAAGTCAAGTGGTTTAAGCAGATGTCTGTAAGCAAGGATCAGGGTTTTCCCACAATTCCATCCATGATGCTCATTTATTCATTTTATTTGTCATTTTAGTTCTACAATGGCCCATTTGCACAAAGTCTATGTGATTTAGATTGACTTTCTAGAGTTAGGCAACCTCATATTGGGTTGAGCAGATATTCCCGTCCTATTGCAAACATGCCTTGAATAAGGCTGCTAGAAGATGTCTCTTTTAGATAATACTAGCTGATAACCCGGCGCTGTCCAGGTGTTTATTTATCCCAGCCCTCCTTCCATGAATGTCACCGCAATTTCTAATGTTGGATTTTCCCCCTTACCCAAGGGAGCCCCCTTGTGGAGTACTGTGAAGCTATTACCATGGCAACTCCACTGTGCTGTACAGTAGAAGCCATTTAAGGCACAACAGGCTGTATCTTAATAGAACACATACACTGAGGGGTTTTAGGGGTGTCCTACTCCCTATTTCTTTTCAGAGAGTAAGTCATCTGTGTACCAAGTTTGGTTAAAATTGCTCACGGCGTTCCAGAGTTATGCTGGAACATACACACACACAGCCATATATATATATATATATATATATATATATAT